CTATTATACGACATAAATCTGTCATCTAAAAATGAACCCGCTCAGTCCTGATCTTGGTGGGTTTCCAAAAAATGATGAAAAACAAGACAAATCCCTTTTTGCACATACATCTTCATAATACAAGTCTTTGTAGTAAAAGATGTCTTTGTCTTTGGGTCTCTTACTGAGGCTTGCAAAATGAAGCTGTAGTCTTCTAAACCTTGAGGGCAACTACAAGGCATCATTAGCGCCAGGCTTTGTCCTCCCCTATTTGTCAGCGCTCCTAAATCCCCAACAATTGGTTCTCCACAGCAAACATGCAAACACACATTAACACATGACACCCCCTACATGTTTTTCAATGGGCCACCTGTGCATTAGGACATGCACACCTTCACATCACGGTAATTAGCAACATACTCAGGTTGCAGAAGGTCATGCATTTCACAATACAGGTGGAGTACTGTAATATGTGCTCCAACTTTTCTGCAATGACCCCACATGCTCCCCTTAAGAAGCACGTGTGCATTTCAAATTGTTTTGCACTCCCTAAAATATGCATTTTCACACACCCCAACAACAGCTAGAGCCCCCCGCTGCCTTGACTGCAACATTGGACAAACAATCCGCAGGTCAAAGGTCTGTTATTCCACTGAGACAGCCAGCTGAGTGTCCTGCAAACGAGACAGACTGTTTTCAGGCATGTGTGCAAGTCTGCTAACTTGGAGCTAAGCCCCAGCAACATGGTGTGTATTTTCATACATTAGGGGTACTGCCTTTGCCCTATTTTTGCACCGCAGATACAGTTTGTATATCCAAAAGCACTTTCACCAGTAACCCTGTCCGTGGTTTCTCATTTAGGCATTAGAATGTTTATTCACACAGGATCCAGGGGCCACAGGGAGAGTAAGAAAATGACATTAAGCTACAGGGATCACCTTTCACCTCTCCTTTGACTCTCCCAAGCAGTGCCGTTGGGTTTGGGAGCTTCACAACATCGAAATCCAATCGCAGAGCTGTTGTTTTGGGGTCAATGGCTGATGGTTTGGTATGGGGCCAAGACGTGTACAGTATCTCACAAAGGTGCCTCAGGGCTCTATGTCTCAAAGACTGCTTTACAAACTAGCCTAGAATATGTAGAACATCAGAAGCACTTGCAAAACTGCATATATCTCCCAAAACACAAATGTATTGTAACAGCTGGAGAGTAGTAGGAGAAAATTGGTCTGTGTGTTTTCCAGCAGCGTAAGACTATATCAGCATAACAAGAAACACCTAAGGATAGGCTAAGTAACTCTAACACCTAAAAGATCTGCCTCCTGTTCTATTCTTTGCAACTTTGAGAGTATATCTGCTACCCGAGAACAGCATACTCCTAATGGGCCATAGCCATCAGATCTCTAATATGTTGTGGGGCATCTTAATTAAGGATTTACTTGTGATTAGGAGAAGATAAGATTATTTCTGGATGGACCTGTATGCCAATAAAAAAAATCTAAAAATAAAGAAACATGGGATCCTGTTTTAAAACCAAACATAGCAAGGTGCTGTCAACACCATATGTCACCACACAGATGTTGCATTCCCCACAGCTTTTTGTTGATATGGGTTAATGTGTTATGGCTCTCTTTCCACGATGACCACAATTGCGAAACGTATTACTGTGTAAAGAATATCCTGCATGAGTTGTGAATCTTTGCCGTTCAGTTACCATTGATCTCTGAACTGCTTTGCCTGCTTGGTCAGCCAGATAGGTCATTCTGCAATGGTATTCTGCAATTGCTTTCTGCAATAGGTTCGAAGTTGTATTATATTTTATGTTGTTTTTTTTTTTACCTTGATTAAACCTTAACCACCACTTTATAATCTTGTTAAATCCTTTTTCTCTGTGGTATGTGGTGGATGGACGGTGTTAAAAAATGCAGCAAAGGATAACAGCAGAGCACCTTCAAACAAAGCTTGTCCAAACAACTTTGCACTGTCCAATTTCATCATCTTGATCCACAGGAATAGCTTGACAAAGGCAGAGTAATGCCTCCTAAAGGTGTTTCCAGCTTGTCTTCTCATCAGTCTCCTCTGCTTCAACAAACAGACCAAAGTCCTGTTTGTTTGCTCTGAAAATAAATAGCCAAGGGCCTACTTTGATTGCACATGACATAATCTTTGCAGTTATGACGTGTCCATTTGACGTGCTTTGCAGAACAATCAGACATGTTTTGGCAGCTTCTTATGGTTTTAATAAATAATGAGACTTTGTTTCTCTCTCCAATAAGTACAAACATGTGGTATGATGTATTAGTTTAAACAGAAAATCCTGAAAGAGATTTATATCGTAAATCTTAAATGCCCTAATAGCACATCCCAGGTTATCCACTAAATTTGCCTTTCTTTCCTACGTGTCTTTTCTGTTATCCAGCTTTTAATGTGTTTCATTCACAGACTGTCACTCTTTATCTTATTTGAACCATTTTTTTTTTTACCCCCAGATTATTCAAGGCAGATAAGCTGGCCTTTATGCTACACAGCTGTGCAGCATGAGTGTTTTAAAAAGTTCTGCCAAATCTATTTTTCTGGGGGTCAGCCTGTAGATTCTCTATAAAACAGAAGCCACTGATTTCCAACATATTTATGGTATTCTCAACATGGTTTGTCACTAGGGGTGTCAGAAAAAAATCGATTCTTTCAACTAACGATATTTCATTGATGACATTTGCCCTCAAATATTTAAAACGGATCTTAAAATTATTTATAGGCAAACATCTATTTCCTTATTACACACTATGCAAATTTAGAATAGTAAGCCAACAGCTACAAGTAGCATAAGTGTACCTGTCCATCTTTTTTAACATGCAGCTTCTATGACAAATGTAGGGGGGTCATAATTGTTGGGTAATAACTAGTTGCATTTACAGTATTCAGTTACATTTGCTTGACTATGTTTTTTAGAAAAAAAAATATTTATGGAAGTAGTTTTACAGCATTGTGCATTTTTACTTTTACATAAGTAAAAATATAATAAAGTAGTACTACTTTTATTTGAGTAAAATTTCTGCTCTCTCCATCCATTGTTAATTAGCTTCACTTACCAAAAACAAGCTTGTTTTAAACGTGCATCATTTAAAGACACACTATCTTCTTTTTTTGTTCTCAAGGCTTATTGGTTGAACTTTATTTTCCATTTGCTGAGTTCATACAGTATCAGTTAGGGGTTGAGTCAAACTATAATAAAAGTTATACTGTAATTTAACCTATTCTACATACTGTAACTATTGTTTTTTTGTTATAACTCAAAAAATATTAAATTAGTTGTTATGATCATGGGTAGCAAGTAGATCAGTTACTCAGTACTTGAGTAGCCTTTTTACCAACTAGTTCTTTAATCTTACTAGAGCAATTTCTTGAAAGGCTACTTTTACTTGAGTAAAAATATGATGAACTACTGCTACTTTAACTTACTGTACATACAATTTGTCGGTACTCTACCCAACTCTTTTATTAGGTTTGTCACAGACAAATCGTAAAACAGTGAATCTGTGTCTAATTGGTGTCTCACACAAAGAAAGGGAATTGAAGATGAAATTTGAATCTAAGAACTGATGCAAAGAAATACATTTTCAAAAGCAACAAAAATCATTACTGAACCATTTAATTCCATTTATGTTATAATTAAATTCCTTTTCAAAGTAATGCATTTCACTTGAAATTCCATATATATAGATTTATCTCAGTTTTTATGGGACAAGTTTCTGCCCATATTATCCTTTCTAGAGGTCCTGATTATCTTAACTAGGTGAAGTCACAAAATAGAGTGAAAAAACTTTTCAGATTTATTACGACTCCATTGTTCTCTTCATCTTCAAAGCTTGTCTGCTTGCACAAACGGCGAAGGTTAAGGAAGGTTCACACAGACATGTACTAAAGCTATGACCTCATTAGAAGCAGGAAGATGCTGGTTTATAGAGTTATGACATCCAGTTTAGAGTGTTGTGGCTGAACGTTATTTTTTTCTAGCTTCAACTCCCAGTAAGAAAACCTTTTTAGTGAGTTGCCAAGATCGTTCATTCAACGTGCGCTCCCTCCCCCGTTACTTGTGACTCCAGTGAAGAGGTCATCCAGTGGAGCTGAGTAAACAGCAGAAAGCTGCGGCTTGGTCAAGCGTCCAGGTCAAGGATCTTAAGAGCCACAAGAGATTTGCCACCCCCTGGGTCATTAATAATTAATGAAACCTGAGGCTAGGATAGAATGCCATGACTAACCATGTAAAGCAAAGGCAGTAAAACAAGACTGACCAGGAAGAGAAGGGGGTAGAGAAAGGAAGGAAGGGAGATGGAGTGGATATTGATAAGGCTCTGGATCAAACCCTGGCCACAAACTGTGCTCTCACTGTATGCTCCAGAGGCCCCAGACATAACAATGTGCACAAGCCAGTGATATTCTGATCTGTGGAGAGAGAGAGAGAGAGAGAGATGTTGGTCCTTATTCTTTAAATCTGACAAGCAGTGGCTCAGTAAGGGAAACAAAAACTTGGGTTTCAAAGTTGGAGAGGGGGGGGGAGCAGTCAGTGGAATGAAAAGCAGCATGAGAGTCTAGCTTTTCCCATGAAATCTTGCTGTCCTCAGCCCCACTGTCCAACAAAACATATTCTTGCCCTAGAGGTACTATCATGGTGAGACCTCCATTACGAGCTCGGTCTGATGAAAGAGTAGCTAAGGGGAGGCTTAGCAGTTTTGGCTTTTAACCCTCCCCCTACTGGGTCAGATATGAAAACAGATAGTTCTACATGATATTATATAGCAAGTGGTTTTAAAGAGAGTCTGTTTGAACATTGAAATGTGATCCCAGTCTGCTTCTCAGCAATTTTCTAATTATCTCTATTGATCAGCACCTTATTGTCCTAACTGTAGACTCTATTCTTATAAAAACTTACAGATATTTAACAAACATATTAATGTTGAATACGCACTTGGAGCCGCTACAGAAAGCAGTTGGATTTTTTTCTAAAGCCTTTGATGTCTTTGCAGACTTCCTCAGATGACTGCGACCCCCACGAAGGAATCCATGAGGGGAAAGAGGGCAAGTACCGCCTGCAGGTGACCCAGTTTGTCCAGAGGTTGGAGTACTGGCATAAAGACCTGAAAAACACCTTGGTCACTTCAATTACAGTGGTTCTAGTCAATGGTCGCACTGTAGCATATCTTGGGACAGCAGATGGACGACACATACAGGTTAGTAGGTCAATACAAGGCTCTTGTAAGGTTGTTTGATTGGAAAAAGCCTGTGCAGGCAGCTGTGATTATAATTTTCTTTTCTTTATTTAAACAACTAAAGGTTTTACAAAACAAAATGATTACATAATAATTAAAGTCTGGTTATTTTCTAAGCTCAGGTTTGACAGAATTTTTTTAAATTTAATTAGTCATATTTTAAGGCAATTCTTAAAGCAAAAACATTAACATTGTCCATCTGCTTCTTTTTTATTATTAATTTACTAGCTAATATACAAGTTAATATACTACACAGTAATAAGTAATATCAAAATAATACCTTTTCCACTGTCTATTGCCGGCAAGTGGTTGAGCTTCCTCGACTTAAATGATGCTTTTTTCAAAACCGTCACAGAAGTTTAAATAAAAGGCCTTGAAATCAACATTGAATTAGCTGCTCTAGACACTCTGATTGGTTTTGCAGCTTTAATAACAACATAAATATGCAAAACAGAGGTATGGCCTGAAGGACTCAAAGACTAGTTTTACTTCATTTCAGGTTTTTACTTCATTTCAGGTCTTTCCTGCCGTAATTATTTCAGACCAGATGGAGCAACCATTGTTATATGCATGGCTTTGTTGTCATAGTTAAAGTCCACTTGAAAAAAGTACAAAAAAGTCCGTTTTTGGTCTGAACCAAATCAACAGATTCTTCCGTGAGAATACAACCTAAAATATCTCTGTTCAACATGGAGCTATTTTTATTCAAGTCTATGTAGTCTAAGTAGTTTAGATTTTGAAATAATTTTTTCACTGTGTAACTAAAACGCTGTCATGCAACCAATTTAAGTAGTAGATTTTTCTAAAATGCTTGGTCTGTCAAAACAACACTTCTGACTTCCAATTAAGGGTTTAAGGGTTTAAAAAAACAGAAGCAGGGTGTGAATCTGAAACGCTACAAATCTGTTCTTCGTTGTAAGAACTCCAAATTATTACCCAGAAAATCCTAAGGTTTCAACATCTGGATAGCACTTTGTAAACAGATTTTACTTTGACAAGACATTGTGGCCTTTTGGGATCTTATGTAAGGAGCAAATATTGAGATCTGATATGGGATTACTTTTCATAAATAGGTAAATTGAACATTTATTATTCATCAGCTGTGTGTAGCTTTTTCATAACTCGGAGGATAGCTTTGCAGGGTAACTATTTTTCCAGGTTTTAGTTCTTATACAGCTCAAAAGTGGTGTTTTGTTTTCAAGTGAATGCAAGTGGTGTATTGCGCATTTTTGATTACGTTTTATCAGATCACAGTGAAGAATCCTCTATATAACACCATGTTTTCAATTTTTTTCTACTTACCCCCCTGTTTCTATGGCAGAACAGCACATCGGGTTCATGTGGACTGTTTCAAATGGAATGAAGGCCACCTAAAGTAAAAAAGCCAAATTACATCACGTGTTTTTGAAACTCAAGAAATAAAAGACATGTATGAAATAAGTAAAATAGATATGGAGAAAAAAAAAGCCTTGACAGCTGCAAGGCATGGCTGGGAGGGTGTAAAGGCAGCGGCAGCGGGGTGCGAGGGGGGCCTACAAGCTGAACGGCACGTTAATGGTGAACGGCGGGCTTCTCTAACATATTTCCTCGCACGGCATTTTGCGGTCCCTGTGCAGCTGTTGCTGTGTTTATCCTTTACAGTCAAATAGCACTCCACTCCTCTCACAGTTGGGCTTTCTCTACCCAATTCCTCACCACCACCATTAGGGTACACAAAACTGGTCCCAGTTGCAACAGCTGACTTTCTAAGCTCTAATGAAAGGTGGAATGTAAATTTCCCTAATTTAACCTTTTGGGTAGCAGCAAAGTTCTACCCCAACATACCCACCAGAGCTGGAATTGTGTCATACAAGCACTATTTAGGTATCACTTCATATAAGAGCAAATCTAAGGTCTTGCATTGTAGAATCTACTTAAAAAGCTGTGACAATAAAAACAAATCGGGACGAGTTAGTTGTAGGGAAGACATCGTCACTCACTGTAAAATTAAAATGCAGCTCAAACTTAAATAAATTGCTTCAGTTGGTAACAAGTACTTGAATCAATTTGATCCAACTTCCTTTATTAAGTTGAATACATGTAGTAAAACAACAGCTGCTAACACAACAAATCAAAATTTTTCTAACTTTTAAGACTCAACCACACTTCCAGCTTTCGATGAATCTGTATATAAACAATCCATATGTTCCTAAAGTCATAGTTAGGCCTACTAGCTTAAATTCTCTTCACTGGCTTACTTTGCTCCACACTAGAATTGAAAGCCCTTCTTCTCTCATACAAAGCCCTAAATAATCAAACTCTGTCTTATATCAGGGATCAGATTTATCCTTATGTTCCTAGGTTATGTGATATTGTTTAAATTTATATCCCAGTAACTCCCTCTGGCTGCATACAAAATTTATCTGAAAGATGCCATACTGCTGGCGTATAACTTGTTTGCTTTTGTGTCTAATGTTGGTCGGTTGATTGATTAGTTCTTACCTTGATGCTGTATCCCTGTAATGTTCTGAAACAAGCTTCTTGGGATGATTCACTGTAAATTAGAATTACCGCTGACCGTTTATTCAGGTAATATTGGTTGTTTTTTTAACAACTCCGAGCTATCGCTGTACTGAGGCACTGCCGGACAGACAGGCTTAATTAAGTCGCTACCTCAGTTGTCGCCATCTGTCTTTCTGATTGCCCTGTGGTACTCCTTGTAGAACCTGGTGCTAGAATTCTATGTAGACTCTAAAAGGACTATCAGAACACTGTTGGGATGGATGCTGGGTGTATTTAACTCTAATTTATCATAATAAAATGTTTTTAGGTCTTGTTTATATAGGCATATAATGTGACTAAGCACCTTTTACTAGTAAACTCTTACTTCCAAGTCGCTAAGATGCTTCATTGCATTCAGAAGGACACTTACAAACTAGAGTGACTGCAGTATTCTATTCACTGCTCTCCTGTGGTATGTATGTTCACCGTATGACCCCCCAGCCACCTGCCATCTCCATCTAAAGCTATGCAGAAGAAAATCTATGAGACATTCTGCTCTACACCATCGACGTTCATTTCATTGTTAGGACCTGTCAACTCTTCATGTGTTTCAGTTTCCTTGTCATTCCCAGCGGACATAGCAAGATGGAACATAGGGTAGGGGCAGTGAAAGAAAAGGAACGTTGTTTCCCCCCCTGTAGACTGACTCAGGAAGTGTTCCCTCAACTTCAGTCAGCCCACTGTGGGAATAACACAGCGCCAGTGTTTATAGGCCAAACTTCCCCCCCAGCCTCCTTAATACAATAAGCTGTAATTTACACCACTATTACCTCTAGAGAGATGGCTGTTGTGTGGCCTCGTCCCCTGCGGAAAGCCACCTATTATCCCCGCTGTTACAAAGCTAACGTTGATCATGAGGTTCAAGCAGTGAGGGGAATGATGCTGGAAACAATGGATTTTTGAGCAGAGGAGGCAGAGGGTCAAAGCTGTGGGTGAGACAACTGAGAAAAAGTACATGTAGGCCTTACTATGTTGAGTAGGTCAGGTTTTTACTGGATGCCCTGACGCAGAGTAGGTTAGAGGCAGAGGATGCAACAGTTATCGGTTTCACAGCCTCCAGTAACCCCTGACACAAGTTACAACTTTAGTTTGTGTGTGTGCAAGTGAATGTGGGTGTGTGTATAATTTAGAAAGGGCTTACATTACTGGTGTAACCACATACCCCTTTATTAGCCCTGTGTGGTTTTGGTTGCTTCAAGGCCAAAAACAGCAGCATAACCACAAGTCATACATTTTGCACCAGGTAGTTTCATTGTATGCCTGTGGGGGTGTAAACTTATGCTATGAAAACTTAGGTTGATGTTTAACTCCTGTTAACAGCAGGTTACTTTCACTTGTTTGAAACTCACTGATTACTAAATATTAACTTCAGCAAAAGAAAAACAAAAACGTGGGTTAGTGCAAACTTTTTAATTGATCCATAAACACTTTAAGTGATTCATGTGTAGATTTTTGTATGTCTTAATGAAGGGTGAGTAAAGAAAGTGACCAGTTTTTTTTTCCTCAGCTGTTCATCTAATGTAGCTTATATTCAAAGTTTCTGACTAAGTCACTATCTATTAAGCAAGATGCATTTTGAATGCATAGTTAACATGTATCACTAAGTTATAAAGCATTTACTGATTAATCTATTCACTCTTTATTAGCCATCTGTTAGGGTAGTCCTATTATAAAGTGGTGTACAACATTTTTTGTGTTTCTTTGTATTTCTATATATTAGCCCAAATCAAAGCTGTCTAGCAATTGTAAAGAAGGAGAAAGATTTTGTATTTTATACAATCTAAGGAGACAGGTTTTCATTCAGTCATCTTGTTAAAAAAACATTTAGGTGCACTTAGATTGGATCATAAGTCAAACATTTTATTTCACCTATAACACACAAGCAAAACACTTGAAGAAAAACAAGAACAAACTGTCTTAGAGGAGAATTAAAAAATATAAAAATTCAGGTGGAGTTTCTGACTGTTTCATAATTTTGTGCTGTGTTCGCCTTTTAGGTCAAGAAGTCCAGTTATGACCTTCACATTTCCTGCTGTCTAGAGACACACTTATGAACTTCTTTCACCCATCACTTCCCTTACCATTCTTCCACTAAGGCTAGATTTTGGAATTATATGGCTGATGGTCAGCCGTTCATACTGCGTACATTTTAGGAAATCCTCAGGTCCCTGGAAATAAGTTAATTAGAAAAAAAGCTATCAGGTCTTAGGAAAAATTTCTGTTTTACAGCTTTAGGAATTAACCTATTGGGTCTCCGGTGTCATTAACGACATTTCTCTTTTTTAAATTTTCTGAAATCTTAATCAACCAGCAGATGTTAAAAATAGTTGCTCACCCAAAAACATCTGCAAAGTTAATTTTGGGTCATAGAAAATGTAAATATCCGTTCAGTTGGGTAAAAAATTTATTGATTTTAAAAAAGGGCTTGTTTCCTGAAACATGACACCAAACAACTCTTTTCTTTAAGATCTGATAGACCTTATAACTTATTTCCCAAGACCTGAAGATCACCTCAAATGTAGGTTTACAAAACATAGTATGACAAATAGTCTTTTACACAATTCCCAGCAAACTTTATTGGACAAAGCGTAGGTCTTACCCAGACAGGGAGGACACCTTGTGGATCACTTTTCTGCTCCATGTCAAGGTGTGCTGGCACAGCGTGACAATAACCTCCTGATGTCCTCTGGCGTGTTCAGTTGTTCTATTGAACAGACTGCATATGATACGTCCCACTTCTATTAATCCTGGCTTTTATCAGCATAGCTCTGCAGCAATGAAAAGGTGGTGAGTGAATAAAATCCCATCATCTGACCTTCCTTTTGGCTCAAATACACTGAGAATAGAAAAGACAAAGACAGTTTAAAATGTAAAAAAAACGCTTAATTTCCTGACTTCCCTTCTGAACAAAAAGAATTTCAGTTCTAGGCTTTCTGTCATTAATGAAGATTTCGAGAGACACAGTAAATAAGGATATAATTAATTAATAAGTTAGTTATTAGTTTGTCTAGAATCATTGAGGCCCTGCTTGTTTGTAGAGTTTACTTTGTTTTTCTTCCCTATGGAACATCCTGTGTTTCTCCTCCTGTACAGGGATTCTTGATCACCTTGAAACAAGTACTGTTTCAAGTGTTAATAATCATAATAATAATACACAACTAATAACCACCTCAGATGTTTTTCTTAGCTGTTCAAGAAATTTCTTATCAACCTCTACCTTTGTTTACATCGTTTGCATTAACAGGGGACAAAGCCTTTAACCAAAACTAAGTTTGGCTGATAATTGAATAAGAAATAAGTGCTAAAAAATAATAAAATAGAGAAACCAGAAGCAGAGGCATCAGAAAATGTTCATTTTCTTCCAGGTGTTGTTCTCTCGATATGCCTCTCCCCATGTAAACATCGCCCTCGACTCCAATCCTGTCACTGCCAGTGTGGTGCTGCCAAGGACCCCCCAGTCAGAGGGGGCAGTGCTGATGGCGACAGGGAACAAGGTAGGCGGGGGTCACAGATTAATGAGATTTGTGTTTTTTATAGTTTGCTTTGTAGAGTTAGAATAAAGATACAATGGTCGTCATTGAATGTAATCTAATGTATGTTTTCATATTTAGGGTTTTATCCAAACTCTTTAGCAGAAAAAAAATGAAGAGACTTTAATTTGCATTCCTGTCATAAAGCTTTTTGTCCGGATTTTTTTGTTTTACGTTCTGTTTCCCTCCTAGATCACCAAGATCCCTCTGATTGGCCCAGGCTGTGGTCAGCTGACTACCTGTACGTCCTGCCTGCTGTCATCCAGAGTGACCCAATGCGGCTGGTGTGATGGCCGCTGCACCAGAAGGAACCAGTGCTCATCCTCCTGGGTTCAGGATAACTGCACGCCAGTCATTACTAAGGTATGTAAAGCCCTTGGTGGTTTTGATCAAGAGCACCAGCTTTGAGCTTCTGTGTGGGACATATGGCTGACTTATCCTTAGATGCCATGGATAGCAAGCCTTGTCCCTCTCACACCGCACTCTCAAACCTTCACCTCCATGAACAAACATGCGATCACTTCAACACAAAAAAGACAAAACAAGGATGTTTGAAAATACTTATCGTAATATTCTTGAAAAATTTTTTACCTGTCCGGGGACAATTTAAATCACAGACGCCAGTAGATAAAGTTTGTGCCTATTTTCAAAAATCCTGTTCTTTGGGGGTGTTTTGGATGGTTGTTTTTTTGTTTGTACCTGCCAATAGCAATTCTAATTTAGTTTGACTTTGGTATCAATATTTTAAACCTTCCTGTTGGACATGGTATCATATTCAGATTCTAGGTATGGGTTTATTCAGTTACGCTCAAAACAAAAAACAAAGCTGATTTTAATACAAAATAAATAGATAAACATGATGAAAAAAGAAACCTCAGGATCTTGTATTTGGTCTCAGCACCGTTAGCAAGGCTGGTACTGCCAAACCTAATTCTCTGAAATAGATCCTGTTGTTGCCTGTGCACATTCCCAGTCATAGCCACAAAACAGGCCTAAATCAGAGGTGACTGGACTTTTGCTCAGTTTTTATAAAAACATTTCAACACTATACACAAAAATATTAGGTTCATGACGTAATAGAGTATTAATTGTTTTTCGAAGATAAAGGCTTTGATTTATATTTAGATTTCTACAAAGCTTTTGACTTTAATCAAATCCTTTATTGAAAATCCTTATTATATCTAATATATATTATTTCTTTGAGCTGCAGAGAAAGAGACTGTTTTTTCTTAAGAATAGCCAAGATATTGAGCCATTGAATGTGTTTGGTTATCCTCTGATCATAACTCAGCTCTGGATTATATTTAGAATTCTAAAAATATGAATGTCAGACTGCAAAAAAATATCTCAAAATAAGTCAACATTTCTTAAATTAAGTGTATTTACACTTAATTTTAGTAGGTAAATAATATGATTTTCCAGTGAAATTAGTATTTTTACTATTAAAATAAGATACTTAGATAATATGGGATTGAAATTAGACAAAGCAACAGTTTTTTCCTATTTTAAATGGAAATTGTCATGTTCCATTGGCAAAGTGTCTCACTTATCTTTATTTAAGTGTGCTTATTTAAGAAAAAAATACTTATCTACATTTAAATTTTTTCCAGTTCAATACATGATTATCAGTAAAGCACCTTATACGGGATTCCAGTGAGAGAAGAAATATTTAGGCGAGACCATAACAAAGGATTATAAGGCAAAAGGAGATCTGAATATTTTGCCATAAAGGCAATTTATTAAATCTTTTATTCATGGCTACAAAGAGATATGTCTATTTTGGATGAATTTGGATCACCAGAGTGGAGGCAACATTTGAGACAATATAGAAACTAAATGAAGCTGAGATGTGAAACTCAAATTTGCCTCATGAGCTATAGAAGAGCAAACTTTGACTTGTAAAATGTTTCTTTTGCAAGTCTGGTTGCCCCTGAGGTAAACATGTTTCACAGTTTCTTAGTTCATTTTTTCTGAATGGTGCAGGTTTTTTTTTTTTTAACAACCAGGTAGTATAGCTGAATGTGTTCGAAATGTCATCAGGACAAATAAAGTTTGCTCCATTCAGTTCAGCCTTCCTGTTGATGCCTCAAATCTGCACTCTCTCTCACCTGTTGTGACTATTATAGCCTCATATACAGACTGCTTATTAAACAGTGCTTCTGATTTGAATTTATCTTTTTTCGATTAAGTCTTTTCTCTTAACTTGGACACATTTTCAAACCTTTATCTTATGCAATGGAGAGCATTACCCAAGGTGAAGTGGTTTAAGTTTTTGACTGTAATGCAGGGCATGGGGGTTTTGAATCCAGGTTGCATTAGGACCGATATCCCACATAGAAACTTCACCTAGTCTGTGAGCGAGTTCTAGTGACTCGCTGACCTCTAGATAAAGGACACAAACAGCTTATGTAAAGAGGGAATAAAAGCAAGCCAAATTGTAAGCCAGAGGCTGCAGCTCTGACAGCTGTTGCACATATTTTATGGTGAAATCCAGTGACATCTGGGGACTGTGAGCTACTTCACTGTTCTTGTTGGCTGCAGAATAATTACTTCGACTCTGATGTATCTCCAGCCAAACACTGTAAAAAATGACTTGGGTTGCATTGGAACTGGCTTCTCTATAACAAGCACAATTTCACAAAATAAGAATTTGAAAGAATTTTGTATATATATTTATTGAAGGACTAGAAAGTGTTAGAAAAAGATTTATAGGTGTCAACTATATTCTAACAAAGAAAACAATATCATGTTTGATTGATGCTCTATGTCTTTCTGTTATTTCTTTCTAAACATAAAAAATTATCTGTTTCTAATTGTTGTTCAAATAGCTTTCATTTTCAAAATGAAATAAATAGGGTTTCGACAGTTTTATTGCATGTTGGAATAAATTCAAAGGTAAAAAGAGAATTTAAAATTTTAAAAGATGAAAAGACGTTGATGTGGAAATATTTATGCATTAAAAAAAAAGAATTGTATTAAAGTCCCAAACAAGTTTCATTGCAAGTACAAACATGTTTATGTAAATTCTAGAATAACTTTGCTGTTTTCTCAGATTTTGTTTCTTAATTTTTTTTTTGTTCATATTTGATTTTACTAACTTTTTCTATTTTTTTAGAGAAATTTTATTTTTAAATTGTCCTTTTTTTATTTATCTTTTATTTATATTTATTGATATATATTTATTTATCGTTTTGTGATAACAAACTTTTACTTTTACTTTTTACCCTTTACTTTACTTAACTTTTAAAACATAAAGTCTGTGTCATGACTTTATCTACAGTCAATCACCAGAGTCTGAGGAAAAAAACAACAAGTTGCTCTCAAAACCTTCTTTTGATTAAGACTTTTTCGGGATCACATTTTTACAAAACATGTTGTTTGAAGTATAATGGAACAAAATTCACTCCATATATTTCAGTCAATAGCGACTTGACACCTGATTTGAACTTAGCCAATAAAGACAAGAGACTAGACTTAAAACCAGGGAAATTACTTGAGAGCATCTGTCTCTGTGTTCTCCTGCAAGCTTAATTAAAGGTAGACAATTTAGAAAAATAGAAGAGAATGAAATAAAACAAAAGAGAACAGAATATAATAAAATTTACCACAACAGAATAAAATGGAATATAACATAATAGAATAGAATAGAACAGAATAGAATAGATTAGAATAAAATAGATTGAAATAGATTAGAACACAACAGAATAGAACAAAATAGAATAGAATAGAATAAAACAGAATAGAATAAGTGATTCTGAATGTCTGAACATCATGTGACGTTTTAGTGCGTCTTTAATTGAATTTAAGTGCTTTTTAGATCAGATCTAATATAATGATTCAGGCGGCCTTCAGCTAAAAGTTCACTTTGTGTGTAAGATGCAGGCATTTAAAGCTCGGTTCTCCTCTTTATTCACTTTAGGTGTTCCCATCATCAGGACCAATCAGAGGCTCGACAACAGTAACGATTTGTGGACACAACTTTGGCTTCGATAAGACAGAGAACTTTAAAACCTCGATGGTGAACGTGGAGGTGGCTGGAGCCACCTGTAAGCTGGCTCGACAGGACCGTATCAACAGGTGTGTGTTTGCGTGTGTGTCAGGCTTTTTAGGTCGGCTAAATGCAGGTTTTTCTGCCATTCTGTGAAGAGAGTACTAAGCACCTTAAGATACCCCTAAGAGGTTTTCAGAGAAATTGGGACCTGCATGTTGGTGCCTTGTAGGAGAGCATTTATAGCAAGAATGATTGTGTGGAAGAAGGAATGTAAAAAATCACACAGACACCCCCCCACCCAACACATGACCACCTTAAGTGAAAAATTGCTGGGGGAAAAAAACACTGAATGCAAGCTTTTCCCTCTCCCAAATCCACTGGGACCTCGTCCCATTCAAGAGCTGCTTTTTTGCTCCAAACAACGTTATTATAGGAGAATAAAAAAATAAAAACAGCCCTCACAATCTGGGCTAAAGATTGAGTCTTTGTGCATTCCTGCTGGATACTGCATGATCATTAAATTAGGCTAAATGCTGGGTGCTGTGGTAAGAAATAATGGTTGGTTTGTGTTTTGTTTGGGGGGGTCGGTTGCAGATGGACTGAGATCCAGTGTTCCCCAGTGTTCAGTGGGAACTTTACGCCATCCGGACATTTAGTAAAGGTTACCAGTGGCCACAAGGTATCCAAACTGGAAGGCTTCAAGTTTGTGGTAAGTTATCTGTTTCCTTCTTTCCCCCAGAGAATAATTTTTTTTGGATTCTTTTACGTTTTCCATATTTTATAACCTTTCTAGACATTTTTTTTCATTTAAGCGAAACTTCAAAGTACTTCTTAGGTTTTACACATGAGAGACTAAATCAAAGGAAGAAAAGGTTGCAAAATGGAAGGAAAGTTACAGGAGGTTCCTACAAATAAAAACCTGTCAAGTGTGGCCTGCCTTAGCATCTAACCCCTTTATTCTGACGCTCTTCAATAAAACCCACTAAAACCCGTGGACAAGGAGGCTGGTCAGTTTATGCAAAAATGGATGCATGCAAACATGGAAAAGATTGCAGACTGGGGTGCAGATTTCCCTGCAGGTCTAAATGTGCAGACGGAGCTACAGTTGGACAGTATCAATCAGAAACTGACTGCAACTTAAACTTGAAATAGAATATTTTATCATATTTACTTATTGTGGATATGATTAGGTTGTTTGGAAGGATTTTTATTGTTACTGTTGCAAGCAAAGACTATGTTTTGTAAATTGATATAAAAAAAAATACAAGGTAACAAAAAATATTTTAGGAAGTCACTTTGCTGCACTTTGCTGTTCTCTTTGCTAAGATCCAGCAGACCAATAGAAATGCATCTTTGATCCTCTCTCCAGACGAAAGTCCGCCACCAGAAATGAAGAGAAGGGGATCTGGAAAAGGCAATCTGAAAACAATGAAATTCATAAAACTTAATCTTTAAAAGAGAAATAAGAAAAAATAACTATAAAAAATTAAATTTGAGAAAAACATTTATACAATTGAAATATGGGAAAATACTAAGAACATTTAAATAAATCCAAGAAAATAGCAAAGTTTCTATCAAAACTGTCTGCTCTCCCCTATTTGAGAATCTCTGGGTTATTTAAAGCAAAGGGCCTGGGACTCTGCTCCACTAGGTCCAATGTCCTGCAGCCTAAAGTCCAGCACACCTGAATCAAATGGCTGAATCACATCCTCAGTGTGCAGGTTCTCCAGAGTCCTGGTAATCATCTCATTATTTTTCTCAGCTGTGTTGAAGCAGATACACATACAACTGCGTAGGACCCCCAACCCTCAAGGACCGTTTTTATCCATCCCTGGCCTTGTCAAAGTCTAGACTAAAGACAAATTGAGAATCAGTGGCAAGACTTGTATAAAACCAATGTATTCTACTCCTTCCATGTGACAAATATGCCACACTTTATACAGACTAAACTCCCATGATAACATTAAAAAAAGTTTTTTGGTTTTTTTAAGTCCAAGGGCTGCAATCATTTTCTACGCACTGCAGTGCGTTCAACACGGTGGTGGCTGCATCATTAAGTAGCGGTTGAAAACGTACCTTCTCTTCTGTAACATGCAGAGTAAATACTCATATGAGCAGTTTTATTTAGATTACACGTGCAGGTTCAACACCACAAGATCCCAATATGTCACATGCATAGGTGCACGAACCTGCGGTGCACTCATGGCTTCCTTTCCACGCCAACGAGCCTCCGTCCTGAATGTTTGTGGACCTGCTTCTATGCGCTGCTGTTAAGGACTGTTGTTCACTCCATGCATCCAGGACCCAATGATCAACGACATCTTTCCCACATTTGGTCCAAAGTCTGGAAACACCATGTTGACCATCAGAGGAGCCTTTCTGGACACTGGGAACAAACAAGTGGTGACCATAGGGAAGGCAAGCTGTAAGATCCAGAGGTCAGTAAAAATATTCCCCTGGTTTCACTTTACTTTTGACGATCTTTGCTTTATTTTTTATGCTTTTTCTTAATCAAAGAGCATAATTGTTCAATTATAAAGTATATATAAACTGTACCGTTCCAACTGCAGCCTGTCGTCAACCATGCTGACCTGTAGGACGCCGCCACAAGTCGTTCCCTCAGAGCAGCCGGTGAAGCTGACGGTGGATTCAGTGGAACGTCATGCTCCCGTCCCGTTCACCTACAACAAAGACCCAATCATCAGCAGCATTGAGCCATTACGCTCCTTCGTGAGGTAAGAAACCCTGTTCTGGTTTCAGTCCCAGAAGCCTCCTTCTGGTGGGGGGGGGCATCTGAAACAGATCAATGCTGAGTTTTACAGCAGTAGGAAGTGAGTAGGAGGAGAGAAGTTGCTAACGCGAACAGCAGGTACCTCCCGGTGGGAATCTCCTGTGTCTGACTCTTACCCTGATATCACCCCCCCTTGCAGTGGAGGCTGCACGGTGTCGGCTCATGGCTCCAACCTCCAATCCGGCCTCCAACCACAGATGGTTCTCACCACCAGTCAGGATGCTACAGTCTTCCCTGTGGTGAGTAAAACATGAGGTCTCTCCTCTAACACCAAGCAGCCAACAGAAGTATATTTTCTCCCACCTTTCTGTAGACCTGTTTCTGTGGCTCATGTCAACTTTGGTCACTTTGAGGGTGAAGCCAACCTGGGAAACTAATCTGCCTGTGACTGGCTACTTCTCAGGAAATATTTAGACAGTGCTGTCTTATCTTAGCTTAGCATACAAGGACTAATTGAAGACAATTAGTCTGAAGATGCTTTGCTGCCATTACTGACCACAACCTGGACGTAAACCGTACTGCAGGATACGTCATTGTTAAACACCTGTAAACACTCTAAGTATCAGACCTTACTTGTAAGTTGAGATACACAGTTCAAATATTATCACTATATTGGGTGATATTATCACGATAAGGATAAAAGTGATAATGATGTCCACCCCTTATCCATTGTTAGTCTGTAAATATACAAAAATGACTTGCAAACTGAGCTGAAATAGATAGATAGATAGATAGATAGATAGATAGATAGATAGATAGATAG